CTTGTTTCTCCACCTCCTATAAAACTGGTAGCATATAGCGTGCTATGTTTTAAATTAATGACTAATTTACGACATGGAATTCCCTGGTAAAATCTGATTCAGCTTATTGTAGTGTCGCGTTAAAAGAAGGAAACAAAATGTCTCGGTTCATTCTATTTCTCGGAAGAGTGGCTCATTTCCTGTGTCCTTACCTGTGCTTATCTCACATCGTGCCTGAGGTGACGTCACGACAGACGTACGCTGTACGAAAATTGGATTTACCTAAGGTAGTAAATTCAGATAATGTTTACTATGTACACAGTATCTGGCTTTTTCGGTATTTACATGCCATTGTAAAGTCCAGAAGTGTTTAATTTAAAAAAACAAAGTAAACATTACTTAACTATACTGTTATCGGTAAATCTAAGTTTTCGTGCAGTGGTTCAGTTCAGTGCCACTGCATGTTTCCTGTGTGTGCTTTATACATACATGTTGTTCTTCATCTTTAGAATCAGTCACCGAAGAGCCGTCCTGCCACCAAGTCTTACCTTGGTGAGTTTTGTCCGTTTTTTTTTGTCTAAATGATAAATACAAGTTTAGTTACGGTCTGGCCTTACGTTAAAGTGTCGCAAACTGATTACTCTCGGGAGAGATCTTGGGATAGTCTTAAAACCTCAAACGAGTCAACTGCCACGTTGGTAAACAGGCTGTCTTATACTCCTGCCATCGGTTAGTTCTACCACACTTTATATATCACGGCTTATGTAGTTTCATATTACCCTGTACGGCATACGTTATTTTTTTTTTTTTAAGGGTGTCACGGTGTTATTGGTCGGTTTATTCCGGTACGGTAACGTTGCTATAACAAGCTCCATGTACCTTATTCGGTCTTCTAAGCCGTGAAGTTCCTTGAGGTAAAACCAAATACATGATGCAAATAGCACAAAGTCACCATCATAAATAATGGCTGACGTTAAGGTAAATATTTAGTACAGTAGACATGACAACAGGTCTGAATGTGCTTGCCAAGTCCTCGTGTGAAACCGCGTCGCTTGATATTGATAAAACATATCGCCAACCTCGATCAGCGAGATTTTGGCAGATTTGTTTCTACGTCCACAAGCATAGTAAATACACAAAGAACAAGGAAAACGTGCTTATATTAGAAACTAGAGTTCGATGAACTCATGACAGTGTGATATTGTTTTGGTGGGTGTTGTGTGTGTGTATAGTGTAGGTTTTTTGAAGATGATTATCGTAGTTATAGATAATATATATAGATTACTAATATTATAGAATTTCCTTTTTAGTCCCCTGAAGTTTCCGAACAAGCTGCTAGGGAGACAAAACCCACACCACTAATTTCTGACAGGAAGAGCTATCTGTCATTAAAAGTCAAGACCATAGCAGGTTCAGGACAAAGACAAAAACTGGCAGTATTGCGATGGGCAATTCTGGTTTGTTTGTAACGGCAGCGAGAATGGGAATTAAGTGGTCAACTCAGGGATTCCTATTAAGTTTCAGTTAACTGATGGGGTTGTTAGAAAACCAATATAAATGAAAGAATGAATTAATGAATGTCAGACTGTCACTGAATGAATGGTTTATTGGATCATTTTGATCAGATAAAGTACATCGCAGCCATAGGCTGAATAGCGTACTTTTTACATATTAAAACAAATAAAATATATTGGGATACTATAGTTTTCTATATAGTATGGCGCGTGTTTGATTAATTTTACTACCGTGTTTACTCCTCTGCATCCAGGTAAAACCAGGATATCGTGAAAAAACGTTTACGAAATAGTGCACGTGCAGAGAGGATGGCCTTTGTCACGTGCACGTTCTGTTCCGTCTTCCTACTGGTCAACCTGATTCCATCTGTCCAGGCTGGCCGAGAAGCGGAGTTTGGAGTTGAAAACGTCACAATACGTGAGGACGCATCGGTCGGCAGCACAGTAAAGGACCTGCGAGACTTTCTTAACGTCGGCGGTGGCGTAACGGAAGACACAAATGGAACGTCGTGGTCAGTGAACATCACAAGGGGCAACGATCTTAGACGGTTTGAGGTTGTTGTTGAGGATCTGACGCTAATCGTCGCAGCATCGCTAGACTACGAGTATAACCCGCGCTACAACCTGTCCCTGGAGCTGACAAATACTGGAAAAAACAGCGTTTGGTATGTAAACCTCGCCATCGTCATCATAGACGTGTGGGGATACCCGCCATACTACAGCAAACAGTGTGAAACACCAGTTATAACGGGTACTGGGAACTATATCGTACTGAGCAGCCCCAATGGGCACATTGATGTCGTAATTAATGGGATCGAACGACAGTACCGAGACGTTTTCCCCTATTTGCGTTACGAATCGCGCTATGATATCATGAACGATTGCTCCCTTCGGCTGTGTTCTTCTTTGATGCCCAAACCGTGGGATGATGCAAACTTACTCTTCCCGGCTCTTGAGGCGCCTCAGAATAAAGGGAGAGTAGAGTTTCAATGTCGCGACAGACAGTTGACAAGTGTGGGCAAGTTTTTCTTGTTGGATGTTTCGAAACAAATGTTGCCTGAGTGGGCACAGGATAGTCAGTGTAGCATGGGAGAAGGTGTTAAATATGTCTTAGTTGTGGAGATAAATAAGATAAAATCCACTTCGTCCTATTGGATACAATGTAGCGCTAACGTCACATTTAAAGCAGCCACATGGCCCGTTGATTTTATATTTCCGTACGACATTACAGGATGTCCCGAGGGCAGGTACGGTCTGTACTGTGACAAGGACTGTGTTTGTAAGAACGGTGCCCGGTGCCATGGCTTTAACGGTGCCTGTGAGTGCCGCCCGGGTTGGAGAGGAAGGGCCTGTGATATTCCCTGGCCTGAAGTTGTCATCATAGCGTCACCTGGCGATTCAGTCGTAAAGTACATCGGTACTAATCTGACATTGACCTGCCTGGCTCCACACATCCAAGTATCAAGTATGATGTGGCTTTATGAAGCAGAAAACTATTACAATGACACAAAAATCATTGAAGAAGGGGCGGTACAGGACAGTTCCATCAACGTCCAGCCAGTCTCAGAATCAGACAACGGTGGTTACACTTGCGTGGTAAAAGCTGTAAATGGTGAAGTGATTAATGCAACTTTTACCCTCAACGCCACCAAATGCCAACCCAACTATCATGGGGAAGATTGCAGCCAAGTGTGTGACTGTGAGTACGGAGGGACATGTGACAGGTGGGAGGGCTGTCTGTGTCCTCCCGGCCGTCGTGGAGACAGGTGTCAGCATACCTGCGCACCTGGCAGCTTCGGTTTGAACTGCAGTATGACCTGTCACTGCCAGAACAACGCCTCGTGTGATGCAGTAAATGGCACCTGTTTTTGTTCAGAGGGGCAGTCAGGTGAATCTTGTGAAATTGGGCCCAAATTTAAAAATAATCAAGTCGTTGTTATAGTTGTGGCGTCCGTTCTCCCTGCTATAGTTATAGCCGGCTGCATCATAACTGTGATCATGGCAAAACAGAGGAGCGGGCTACTTAAAACGAACATAGTAGGCATAGAAATGGAACCTCTCTCATCATGGGAACTAGAAAAAGAGGACATTTTTTTCGAACACATGATTGGTGAGGGAGAGTTCGGCCATGTGGTGCGGGGAAGACTGCGCGTGCCGGAAGGCTACCAAGTTTTGGTTGCCGCCAAAAGTATCCGGCCTGACCGCATGACGGCGTCTGCTGTCCGCGACTTTCGCCGTGAAATGGACATTCTCGCCAGGATCCACGAAGAAAAAGAGGGGCACCCGAACGTGGTGAAGTTTTACGGAGTTGTGACTAAATCAGAGCCACAGTACATTGTTGTAGAGTACGCGGCTAATGAGGAACTGCGTCGGTACCTGTGGGGTTTGAGAGAAGAATGCAAGGTCACAGGGAATAGGAAACTGTTAGAACGTCTCGGATTTGCTTCTGGTGTGGCTAGTGGGTTAGAAGAGCTGGCACGTCTGAAGATCGTGCACCGAGACATCGCGGCCCGTAATGTCGTCATCAGCGACAGGAAGGTGGCTAAGATCGCGGATTTCGGACTATCGCGTGACGTTTACACGTCGTCGGCGTACGAACGCACCACGCAGGGCGGGGAGGAGGAGGAACTGTTGCCGCTGAAGTGGATGGCCGTGGAGTCGTTACGTGACGGGGTGTACACGTGTGAGAGTGACGTGTGGTCGTACGGCGTGCTGCTGTGGGAGATCGCCAGTTTTGGGGAGGAGCCGCGCTACGCTGGGGGTCCCATGCACCCGGACATCTGCACGATGTTGGCGCTGCTGAAGAAAGGCGTCCGTCTGCAGAAGCCAGAGAACTGTCCGCTGCCGGTGTACCGCATCATCAGGTCATGCTGGATAGTAGACCCCTCTAAGCGGCCGACGCCTGAAGTGCTGCTGCAAAAGATAGACCAGTTAAGACCACCGAGGCATGCGGCCCACCTCGTTAATCATGGCATGACATGGCAGTAAAGTCTCATGGGCTGTTTTGAATCTAATGCAAATGAGGAACAGACGTTATAGCCTTATTTCTACATAAAGGCCTCAACGTGGAGCAAATTATACATAAACAAGCGAGATACAGAGTATGATGTACATTACTAATGCATGTCGCCTGGAGCACTGTTAGGCCAAGGACGTCATGTAGGCCAATGAACTATCATTATAGTTAGACTAAGAAAGCTAACATTCCTGCTAATTCAGCCAGAAGTCAAATTTACTTTTCCGCATCATGATATGGGTTGTTATTGTTATTATTTAGAAACGTTTTTAATTCTTTGTAATTATTTGTCTAAGAAATTTCGTAGGTTGGAAATGATTTAAATATCTTTTCAATATTCTAAATAATTCCCTGGTTTTCGAAAAAAAAGTTTGAAATATTCCTGATGCGGAATATGACACTTCCAATAGTTTCTGAATATTTCTAACAGCACTCTAGCATTTTTAAACCATTATTTACAATTATTTCTAGTATTTTGTAAATAGGTCAGTGGGATGGGAAAGAAGTAATTCACACAACCCTGTGAAGTACAGGGTAGACTGCAGGCATTGGTGCCTTACAACAAAAGAGCCACCAGTGTCCAGCAGTGAAATTTAAAAATATACAGAAGAATACAGAAGAGTTGGATTAGCACCTACTTTTATGGGTACAATTACCCACATCTACCATTTGGTTATTTGTTTGAAATATTTCTTAATATTTTGAAAAGTGAAAGAAACACAAGGGTAGTTCAAATCTATTCTAAATAAAAGATCTTTGTACAGACACTTTCAAAATGTTTCAGAAATATCTAGATGAATTCAAATATATTTAAATTTTCATTATCAATTTTTTTTAATTTAGAACTTTTGTTACTGGGGTATTCTCTAAATAATTCAACAGTATTACAAACATGGAGAAAAAGCCCACAAGGTAACGCGGAATTGACTATAGTAGTAGCCCAACATTAAGGAATTGTTTTGTTGTATATAATGCTGAAGTATGATGACGACGCATCTACGTATCTCAAGTGGAAACAGAAACTAAAACCCTAAGAGTAAGACGAAAAAATGTTCTTTTTTATTTATCAACCCATAGCAACAATCTACAAGAAGAAGTACTGACTGCAGCAAATGTGGAAACAAAGAAAGACTTGCCAAATACACACAGACACACACACACAAACACACACGCAAATACACATACACACAAACACACACACACACACACACACACACACACACACACACACACACAGACATGTACACACACACACACACTACA